AATGATAATAACATGGCAGGTCATATTCTATTCTCGCATACACCAATGTAATGTGAAATCAAGTGGCATGCAGTGGTATATGAAAAGTACTGTCCCCCTAATTTCATTTTCAGTTCCTCTTTGAGCAGGGAGGATGATACATGATCAGGAAGGTAAAATCAATTTAGTTCATCTTCTATGTTAAGGTTGCCTACTGCTGTATTGCAGGAACCATTTAAAATCACGATAACTTTGTACTCTTTCTGGGTACTCTAGAAAACAGTACCAATTATTGATTTTCTCAGATGCCCTTCTGTTTAGTTATTATTATTATTTTATGGTTATCTAATCAAAGGATCACAGAATTCCAATGAAAATGCAAACGGAACGCAATAGTTTAATAAAGTTCAATAAATGTAGGTCAGTATGAATTTGTAAAATGATGAAACTCTATGTAGAATTATGAAAATCTATATTTTGCTGAAATCATCACTTCAAGCCCTTTCCAAAAGTGCCAGGAACAATATTACGTGTGTATTTTTAACCTTTATACAGACAGCAGGAGTACTGTCAACCAAATTTGCATCTCATAGCTGGAACCTGCACTGCTGCCTACTGCATAATGAAGTACCAGACTAAAAATAAGTTACCTTGTCATATGAAAATGTTTTATTGTCAAACTATATAAAGCAAATAATTTTATCGTTAACAAATCAATAACTACTTCACGGATTTCTTACATGTGATCATTTTTAATTGTGGTCTTTAAGCACATGAATTGATGATGCTATGCCTGGTTTCAAATGAAAGAAATATTACCCGTTTCAAAGAAAATGCACTTTATATTACTCAGTATGTTCCCTTTTTGCAAGAAAATTCATGGTAAACTTGTGCTAACAAACGCTGATATTCTTCTGAACAGTTTTTAGATTGTGATAAAGCACCGTATTTGTCAAAATTTACACATATTTCCTCTACAAAGGTATTCAGTAAAATCTCTGTGAAAGAAACACTGGTTAGACTTGTTATGTAGGGGAAGCCAAGTTTGTTGGAAGATGCAGTAGGTGCTGTTAAAATACTTAGATAAGCTTAAGATAATGAAAAAATTATGTGTTAAAATAAATTGCTCTTTTTTTTTTTTTCTTCAGTTGTAGGTTAGTTTAATAAGCAGTACTATTCTATCTATAAGTCATGCAGAAGGCAGATTATTTATGAAAATAACAAAATTATTAATTAACCTAAAACATGTTTCGCATTTATAGAACTCTTTTTCTCTCAACAAATTTGGTGAAGCTTTAATCATGCAGGCCAAAATGTTTTTCTGTGTTCAGTTCTCCCCCTTCACACTGAAGCATAAAAGGTTTGCTTCCTGAAGCAAACTGCATTGAGAGTCCACAAACAAGAAAGTTATGGATCATGCATGATAGGTAGTATTCCTAATATCAGATAGTCCCATGAAAACATTATTTACTATCGCTGATTGAACTTGAGTGAACAAAGAGAAAGCTGGGCCTAAGCTTAAGGTTTCGATACAAAGGTCATTTAATTTCATGGAATTTTCAATTGACTTTAATGGAAAATTGGATTTGTTTTCTTTGAGCAGGGAAATATGTTGAAGGTGTAACATTAACTCCATTTAGAAGTCTAGATTTATGTCTATATCTCTTGTACACTTTTTTTTTTTTCTGTATAGTAACAGTGAAACCCACTACACAATGCATAATGTGTGGATATTAATCCACTAACAAGTGAAATAATAGATTCATGTCTATTTTTAGAATCTCTGGCTTTGTTGCTGCTATTCAAATCTTTGAAATCCTTGAAAGTATGATAAATAAGACATATCAAATAACTTCAGAATAAATCTATGATAAAACATTTATTCTTTCCAGTCTAGCAATGTTTGCACCACTACATACCTCTTATTTTGTGTTGCTTCTCAGACAAGAATCATTTTAGAAGCACTCTTCCCCAAGACAGAATCATCCGTATATTCTGTACATCTCTACAGAACAGTGTAATGTGTGATAGATATATTGTAGCACAACTGACAAAATGTAAGGACTGCAAAAGTATGTTGAGGATTACTTGTAACTGTTTAAAAACCACAAACTTTTAAACGTGTTAGGGTACAGCATTAATGAAAAGGTGTAACAATCCAGAAAGGATCATGATGATTTGAATGATAGTACAATCTAAAGGATCATGAATTGTATTGAACTTCTACAAGTATTTTAGACATTCTTTCTATTTAATTTCTTTCTTTTTTTTTTTTTTTTTTTTTTTTTTAATTTTATGTAATGGTTGATTTCTATTTAATTTCAGCATATGCTGAATATTAAGTATACAAAATAATTTTGTAAATTTGTATTAATGATGATGAGAAACATTTTACATCCCGTTATTATTACGTTCGTAACACAAATGTATTCTTGTTTGGAAGATTTCATCATAGTTTGTATTCTAGATAACAAAGCTTCCATATTCACTGTTGGAAGAAGTGCATGAGTACATAAGAACATGAATAAACTCTAATAATATGTTGATAGACAGTTCATCAGCTATAGATAGTGGTAAAGCTGAACAGATGACTGTATTCAAAAAAGAACAAGAAATAGTATTAAATATGTTAAACAGATCATATGCTCTGATATTGAAAGTAAAGTGGCAAAAAATAAAAGAGCAATGTTGATACTATGTGCTTTTTCTGTTTATCTATTTATTTATGAATGATTGATATAGAGCAAAGAGTTTCCAGGTAAAAATGCTTATGTACCTACATGCAGTGACTCTGAAATCTGTACCTTAAGGACAAAGAAAGGTCACCAATCTCTCCAACTCCTAGTTCTTTGTCAAAAATGGACACAGTTAATGAGGTTTGTTTGGTACAGCACAAATTCTCAGACACAGATAGAGATCCCTTCAATGGAAACAAATTTGTTTGGCTTTACCAGGTTACTTAGCGATTAATAATAGCCTTGAGATGCAGGTCAGAAAGGTCATCGTACCCGCTTGCCAACACAATCTAAAATGTGCAGCTAGTCTGGCTCTGCAGGCTTTGAGGCCCCGAAACACTATGCATAAAGTAAAACAGGCTATTTTCCAACTTCTTTTTTCATATTAATAAGCAATTTTCAAGAGAAGGGTGGCAAAATGGGGGCCATGCCACTCTAAGTAATTCATTTATTTTGCAATTTAATCTTATGTTGGAAAAAAATTACACTGCTGCAAAAGCATAGCATGGTGATTTTTAAACGTCAGTGTGCTTCATAAGTAACCTTGTATGAAATATTGTATTAGCAGACTTTAACAGTAAACTGCAACAAAAAATATTTCCAGAGATTGAAAGACGGGTACATGTTTTCCAATCGCTATTTCCTTTTTATTCTATTTTTTCTTGTATGATTGAAATAAAATGTGTAAATACTTAATATTTTACTTATTATAGTTGATAAAAACTTGAAATATAGCATAAAATATATATAAATTCTACATTACAGCTTGCTTTTAAGAATGAAGTTTCAGTCTTCATGTTTATAAAGCAAGTATTGCTCTTTCACATATTTTGATGAACTACTTTAACATTACAATAATTAAAATATTTAGAATAAGTCTGATTCACAGTCTTAAATACACTTCCAGGAGTAATATGAATTTCCAATGGGATATTTCACATTAGCAAACTTATCCACGTGCGTATTTTGACAGGATTTGACCTTCATCTTAGAGCATCTTATTTAGTATCCATTGGAACAAGTGAGACCATTAATGTGGACCTCTCTAAATACTCAGTTTTGATGAAATATTTAAATGATCCAGATATGTGATCAGTGTATTTATCTTTGCTTTTTATTTTATCATATGCTCACATGCTAAACATACAAACAAACAAAAAAAGCCTAGAGTTTACTCACCTAATTAACTTTTAAACAATCTAAATGCTTGACTGAATATTCTTGGTGTCTTTGGCACAAAGGTTAATTTGAACTATCTATTTCGTAATAACAAAAATAACAAATGGTAATCAAACTGGCCTTTTGGAACTGGGTAATAGAATTTCATACATGTGCACTATGTAAATAGCACAAAATTTTGTTTCTATGAAAAAAGGCGTCGAGGGGGAATCTATGACCATTTGTCTTCAAAATGTTCAGTTAGAATCTCCATTCTTTGGAATTGGGATTAGCTACAATTCCTTAGTTTTTGTACAATGAAATCATTTCCTGTGATCTGTGATTCACAGATCCTGTGAATCCCTTATTGAATAGAGACCCATCTGTTTCGATGGCACTGTGTGTTTGTAAACCTCTCCCATGCACTGTATTCTAAGGCAGTTATGTTGTCTCTTGTGGTGTCCTGTACCATTGCTATCAGAGCAGAGTAGAAATTGACCTGTGCAAGAAACCTAATGCTATGGAAACTCCTCTTAAGGACATTGCATGCACAAAAAGTTTACATCCAGTTCTTCTCCAACTGTACGTACTCACAAAAGGCTAAAAGACCCAGGAGTGAATATCAACCATCACCATGTCTGCTATCCTTTTTCAGGCCATAACGTCCTCCTGTTTGCAGATAAGAAGGAAATGTCACAAAGCACTAACCAAAACACAAGTGAACAACTTTTATTTTGATACTTTTTCAAGGAACATTGCTAAATTAAAATAACTTCTGTTAGAAAAATTCAAACTAAAATGACTCTTAAAAATAACAACACAAAGACGCCTATAAATGCAAGTTTATCAAACTATTAAAATACAAATTGACATAATCTTCAAAATAATAACTAAATTACATGAACTAATATACAGTTTAGAGTTTTAGCATTTTAATTCTATTTCTTCACAGTTACATCAACGGTGCTGTGGAACTGAATGAACTGTAATTTTCCATTCCAGTAGTGTCAGTATACTGCTAATAGATAATAGCCGAATGCTATGACACTATAAAAGGGTTAAAGTAAAATAAAACATTATCAGGTCTTTTATTATTGGTGTATAATTAGCAGAGTTATTTTATTGCAGGAATGAACTCCAAGAGTATGCAGAAATGAATGAAAATGAAAGGAGAAAGAAGGACCAGGAAAAGAAAGAAAAGGAAAAGAAATACCAAGCTCGAAAGATGCATTACCTCCTTAGCACTGAGCAGGTTGGTACACCTGTCCCTGACAGCTCATGCAAACCACTTGGGCCCCCAGCCTGACAAAGATAAACTAGCAGGCTGAATGGGACATGACTTGTTGAAAAGATATCACAAAGACACTACTTCGAGTTCAATTTAGTGCTTTTCTGTAGGCAAGAGCAGGTACCATGACTATTCCATGACAGCAGCTTCATAGAGGCAGCATCAGCACTGCTGGCAGAAAGAGTCCAAGTCAGCAGTTTGATCTGCCACTGTGATAACACAACACGAAGGGCATAACCTCGCTTTAAAAACTCATTTTGACTGGCTTATTGTTGTGTTGTTGCACTTGTCAAGAACTAACAAGTTATTAAGCTGAGAAGGGATTTCATTCCCCCCCCCCTCCTTTTTTAATTGAGCTAATGCTGGGACTGGTGCTGTCTTCTGCTTGTTTTTAAGATAGATTGTAAATGCAGTTTTTCAGTGAAAGCTTTTCCTAGAACTGCCTGAATCAGCTTATTTAGAATGATTGTTTTTACATAGAAATGCCTCATAAATTTTAAATATTTACTGATTAATTTGTTTTGTATTGATAAAAGTGATATATTTTTCAAGATTTCTTATGTAAGCTGCTTTGCAGACAGGTGAACATGGCAGTATATGTATCTTATACAAAATTAATATGATTGGTAATGCTCGTGGTTTTGCCTTTTATTATTAGTCCCCTTTTTGTGAACTTTTATAAAAAAAGACTTTGTATCCATAAATGTTTGGTAATTGGTTTTTCTTCACATGAACAAGGAACAACGGGAAATCATGGTATGCTGGTATGAACTAAATACTTGTGGTCTTTTGTTGATTCCTACTCTTCTTGCTTTTCATATCTAATTAATTATAATCTGTGTGTAAGAAATGTTAAAACAGGAAAAATACGATGTTAGTTACTGCCAGAAAATTTAATCTTTTCCTCTGTTTGGGAATCATTTGTAATCTATGCATTAATAGAAATATTGTTGCACTGACTGAATATCAGTCACTAAAAGCAACTTGTAAATAAAATTTAAGTAATTTTATTTGAAACAAAAGTAATTTTATTTGAATAAAAAAAAAAAGCCCATTAAAATACTAGTAAATAAAAAGTTTTCTGAATAGGATTTTGTCAAGGGAGTTTGTTAGTAGCTGAAATTATGTATGAGCAATTTATGTAAACCAAATAAGTAAACATCAATATGTTTACCTGGAGCACAAAAAGTAGGTTGTTAGAGACATTGGAAGACTTATGATCTAACAAAATTGTAGTAAACTCAGTTCACTTCTGATAATACTGGCTTAGCAAACTGTAATGCATTGTTAAGGAATAGCAAGCAGGCCCATATTTCAGCCATCCACCTGGAGGACTGCAGTAGCAGGCATCAGTAACTATTATGATCTGATGAATTTGGGTCTCAATTTTGCAGAATTAGAATTTAATTAACAGTATTTTTCAGAACAAAAATATACTGCTAAGATGTTTTGTGTGTATGACTCGGAGCCCACAGAATTTTTCCTTTATCACAGAACTATGCTCCAAGAACCATCTTTTTTTCTAAGCTAGTACTTTAAAACATGAATGAATGTAAATTAAAGGAACACTTACAAAAAACCTGAAAAACAGCATACATATATATGAAGTAAGTAATAATTGTAATCAAGCTATGTATTCCACAATTCTATGTAGTCATAGAATTTGATATCTTCCTAAGACAGAGGGCAAATTATTTTGGAGCAGAATTTACTGTTTTGACGGTCTGCTCCTGGCATTTTGCTCTCAATATCCCTGCTGTTCTGACCTAACTAGAACTGCATCTTGCTGTCTTCAGAGGACAGTTAACTGGATTACTGAGCAAGGTCCATTCATTGTATCAGTACAACCAGACAGCAAAAGTCAACATTTCTGAGTGAGTAAAGGAAACAATATCATTTTTAAGCAGAGGACATAGTAAATGAAAAGAGGAGAGTGATGAACTGGATTTATTGTAGAGTCATATTAACTAAAGCCCAATTAGTTGTGCAGATGATCTGCTAAAGTTTCCATAGTGTTGGAGCTGAGCCATTTCAGGGATCAAGGCTACAGATATTCAGGCAAGTTATACGGAGAGCTATAAAAAAATCTATATTTGCAATAATAGTTTCAAATATATCCTATAGTTGTGAATCTTTTTATTTTACTACAAGCATGGAGAAAAGTGTGTTTACTTATGGAAAGAAAAGAATTAAGAAGTTATTGCTCCTCAATTTTAGTAAAGAAAGTTGTGTCAATTTCCATTCCTTACAAGCTGAAGCCTACAAACTCAACTCAGAAATATGTTACAGGTTAAGCAGGGAGATGATCAAGCATGTAGCACTGCATGATGTAGCAGACAATACAGAAATCCCTTCTGTCTTTAAAGTTTATGAATCCTTTATTGAATGCAGAATTTTCTCTTGTTATTCCACAGATAATAAACACGTATATAAGGCTGTGCCAATTTCTAATTTATAGCATTATTTTACATTTCCAAAAGTAAATCTTACAAATGCTGGTGTCATAAATATACAGGGGGTTAGAGTACTTACGTAAAAGCATGGCCTACGATGAAGCCAGCATGTTATTTTTTTTTGTTTGTTTTCTTATGTTAGCTTCCTATTGAGACATTTACATGTATTTCTTCCAGAAACTGTTACCTTTATAAAGTAAAAAAAATAAAAATAAAAAAATAGTATGCATTATTTACTGTTATTGTTACCAGGTACACATAGTTATTGTATAGGTTATGGCTATTTCCTATTACAAATATGGCTATTTCCTATTACAAATACACTGTATTTACACAAGCATTTTACTACGCATACTCTGTTCATTTGAATTAAATAATTATTTTAGCAAAAAAAATTAAAGAAAACAAAGCTAAACAACTTTGGCTATTTGCATAATCAATAATTACTAACAGTAATAATATTAATTTGCTGCCATAGAATTACTGTTTGTCTTTCTGTGAAAGTAGAATTTTCTATGTACCCTGCCAGCTTCCAAACACAAAAAATTGTCTTTTTGGCTTTACTAAGTAACAGGTTTTTTTTTTTTTTTTTTTTTGTTTTTCTCCTGTATTTCCAGCAATACCCATACAACAAAAATGTAATGCTCTTTACAGGTGTAAGAGTTGGCTTGAAAAAAAAATAAATGGAATTTTTATTTGATTTAAACTAAGTTGGTTGCCAAATAATGTCTGGAGAAATAAAGTATGAGGTCTAAAACTTAATGGTTATAAAATGTTGAGATTTTAATCAGTTTGCTATATATGTGAGTAGCTCCAGTAACTAGCCAAGAAATATCTGACTCACATGGGCTTCTTTTGTTTGAAGAAATTTTCTCCTACATAATTGTGGGAACATAATTATGAAATAAAGTCAAATTATCAGGTGATAAATTATGTTGTCTGCTCCACCTACTGGTTGCTTTTTGCAAGATTCTAGTGTAAAATACAGTAAGAAATAAATCTGAGGTGGCAACATGAGTCTTCCAAATAAAATTCTGTTTTAAAAATAACATCCTCTATTTCAATTTTTAAAATTATTTATATATGTAGCAACATTTTCCTTTTCCATTTTTAGCTTAACAGTGTGATAAATTCTGACTTTGTGATGAACATAATACAAATTATAGTACAAGTTTAACAAGCCTTTGCCTTTGTTCAGAATATTTCTTGTCACTTATTATTGGTAACACAATAGAAATAACAGCACAGATCTATTTCTGTTTATCTTTTTCATTTATTTAATCTGTCATATAATGAATGAGTTACAAGTTCTTGTTGAGGCACAAAACTTAAAAATAAGATTTTTTAAAAATTATTATTATTCCATAATCACAAGGTGCAGTTTCCACTGCAGTGTTAATGATCCTTTTTTTCAGCTATCACTAATAAATGAACTAGATATCTAATGTGGTTTTCTACTATAAGTCAATCTGTACAGATCATCCATATACATGTATATCCCTGTTGTATACATGTATATCCCATGTATATCCTGTCTGTGTATTCAAAAAACTCACTGTAATTGAATACCTTCTGCTCTGTGTCGTACAAAAAAGGCTAACAATTTTAGGAAGCGCTATCCTCTGCAAAGTGCTGACAAACTGTCTGTAAGGTCAACAGAAGTTGGAATCACTGAATACATTAATGGCACTTTGCAGAAGCACAGAATGGCTGAGAAGTTGGTACAAAGAGCCCTCATTTGTTGCAGTGTGGTGGAGTGATTCCTATCATTAGCATTTGATACAAATTTTGGAAATTTGTGTCATAGCATTAAAATGATGATTAATATATGATAGAATAACTCCAAAGAACCAGTATCAAGCTAGAATACTGACATGTATTGTTTAAGTATCTGTAGATGGACCAAGCAATGATGCTGAGGTGAGTCTGATTCTGAGTGAAAACAAGCGTGTAACTGCTGTTAGCGCTACTCTAACTACCCAGGTAGAGGACCTGCAAGTCGATAGTCTTGTGGTGAGGAGAAGGCAGTGGTAAGTGGAAGGAGCCAGAGCATGTTAAGTGGTGGTAGGAGCAGAGTGTTGCATGTCTTTTTAAGTCACTGAGACTGGGAAAAGACTCCATAGAAACAGTCTTTTGAGCCTCACAGCTTAAAAAAACATTTAGCTATTATCGTTCCTTCTGTCACTGAGAAAAGTATTAGGGAAGCAGAGGTGCAAAAGATCTTTTCCCTTTACTCTTTAGTTTTTTCCATACAGGCAAATGTACTGGGTGAAATAAAAGGGAATTTAATTCTCTTCTCTCCAACTTTCCTCTGCGCTTCTAAGCAGATAAAGGTATTCTGGTATAATTTTCCAAAAATTCTTAAACAATTACCTTTTTTTTTTTTTTTTTAAGAGAAAAATGAATGTAAAACTAGTCCAGAAAGCAAAAGTTCTTTGTAAAATAATGTCTACAAAAACTTGAAGCCTTTGTCACACAATTGCAAAACTTACTTTGACATTATTAAGAATG